GATTAATTTGGCCAAAAGCTTCTGAAATACGGTCAATTGTGAAGAACGACGTGAGCGGAATGTACACAGTGCCATTAGAACGCTCGTTCTTTTCATTACCCGATGCTTGTTTCTTTCAGATGTGAGTGGGTGGTTGTCGTTTTCATGTTGTTTGATAATTTGCGGAGGCCCACAAAATAAAGACAATAAAATCCACTTTGTTAAATGATGCTGCCCTTTTCGGTCTATTGCAGCGTTGAAGCTAGAATTTCCTTTCGCTCACGTGTCAGGATAAATAAAAGAAACCTTCTGCGTTTCAGACTGTGACCAAAAAAGCTGACTAGACGTGTTCATGACAAATGGGTGTTGTGGAAATTCATTTCGTTGCCACTGGAAGTAATGAAGGTAGACAAATATGAATGTTTCGTGACCCTATTATTTTGATTTTCATTTGACGACGCGGTTACATACGTTTTCATATTTGCTTTGCGAAATCGGAAATTTTGTCGATAATCTGATAATCGCAGTGGCGGAAGTTGATAGAACAGCTGAAAACAGTACGTATTCAATAATGAGATTTCCCACAACAGATTTGTGGGAGTAAGTCGACAATTTTGTAAGGTAAACATTTACCTACAAGTGCCCTTCAAAGTTGCTATCAAAAACAGTTAACCCAAGGACCTTAATATTCCCATTTGAAAGCAATTTTGGCGGTTTAGTCCACGAACTATGCTAAACTAACAAAGAACAATATTCCAGCTACGTTGAAAATGAATTAATTAGATCCCTGGGTGCTTTTCAACGTTTTTCCTCTCCGTTTCAAATAAAGCTTTCGTTTCGTAATCAACGCAACAGAATTTAGCTTTATTAATTACATTTGTGAGGATTCGCGCTTTCGTAATTTATAAGGGAAAACTTTAAAGTACCTTTAACGAGATAGTATATTTGCTTCGTACTAAGGGTAGATCGTCGGGATAAAAACTTGTTCGCTCCATTACGACCGGCCTTCCTTTCTGCCTCCAAGATAATGTAATTTACGCAGCTACCACGTGACCGTGTTGAACAGACCAAGCTATTTCAGATTTTTAGAATCGAAGGAAATCGCTTTTTACTTCAAAATGTATATCAAAAGTATGAATAATGTTAAAACATCTTTACCTTTGATTTTACCTTCACATGCATAAAAAACTATAGACACGGATAGGTCTTCCGTTCTTGAGAACAAAATCTATAAGTTAAGATTTTATTTTGTGTAGAGCAGTCTCGCGTTTCCCCCGTCTTTAATTAACGGTGGATTTAATTTAAACTTCGATAATCAACGCCACCAGGATTCAACAGTTTTACCGACTTTGCCATGATCAACCGAAGTACTTCGACAATTTTAAATTATAAAAATTGATTAGTCAGATGCATTAGCAATATTTGTATTTGAAATGGGTTACGGTTACCCGTCTAACGCCAATATTTTGAATTTCCACTTTATGTGTATTTGGCTTGGATGGTAAACGGCGCATAAATTCTTATAAGCCAATTAAATCATTTAAGACATAAAGAAAAGGATCGCCAGATCTCTCACCCCTGTGTTACAACGTGAAAATCAGCTGTACTTAAAATGACAATGGATTTATATTTAATTAGCTTGCGGATAATAATTAGAGTGTGCTTCTGAACCATTTCAGAAATCTTTCCCTTATTGCAGTAGTGAGTAGGGGCACGTAGCTAGAGGAAATTTTATGGAATAGCCTGTACGTGGATCGAATTTTCTTTATACACCTTATTGCTTAAATCGACAGTGTAAATTCATTATTAAGATGATAATAAAACGGAGATCTCAGGAGCTAAACGATTGAATGGGGAAAGAATTTCAGTTTTATAAGTCTCTCTTTATTTTTGGATGGTTACATATCGCACAAAAACAATTTTTTTATATTTCTTTCGTTTAGCTATTCTTTTTGAGTTTTTCGTAGTGGAAACCATAATTTCTATTGAAAAAATAAAGTTGTCTCATCTTTAAAACTGTGATAAATCTGACATGAAAACTCTATCTGGGTCGCACGCACTGAAACAAAATCCCTGTAGGAAAGAAAAGATTGTTTGGGCATAGTACGCCGTACGCAAGTGGTCGATAAATAAAGCAAGAAATTTTGAAATTACTTACAGTTTTTTTCTGAATAATCCAAATAATCTGTTCGTACAAAATTTGCGATATAAGACGCACTTAACACAAACGCTGACAGCTTCCGAACTTCACTTTTTTTTTATTAAACTGAATCTTCATAAATGAGAAGAAATTTTCGGTGGGTGCTCGGACTGTAGACATTTTTATCTTTTAAGGAAAGACAAACCTAGACAAACCTTTTAGAAAGGTTTCATGATAAAACACGTGCGTTAATTAAATTTCACCTGATAAAACTCCTTATCGCAAACGACCGATGTCCTTACGTTTTAACACGCAATTTTAAGTTTTACAATTGTAAATATAAATAAACAATTTATAAAAGCGACAAAAGCAACAAGTATACAACTACCATACACTTTTATGATTTACTTAACCCATATGTAAAAACTTTAGGAAAATTCTGATACACATGCGGCATCTGATTTGAAGAAAAATCTTAATAGCGACTTAAAATTTCTCAAATAGAGAGACTCGGTTGCCTCGATTAGAGAATTGCAAAGAATTTATTACTCACATTTTGATCAACGCCTGAAATAAATTTTCGGTAAAATTTTGACATGAAAACTCTATCTGGGTCGCACAGAGGATTCGAATAAACACAAATTATTTGATTAACATTGACAAACATTTATTCCGAAACACATCACAATTAGAACAAATTCCCTGAAAGCACGAGAAGCTTACCAAGCTTGTGAGGACATAATACTCCGCACGCAGACGGTTGATAATTAAAAAATCTTAAATTACTACAGTTTTTTAAAAGAATCTAAATAATACGTCGTGAACGGTTTGCTATATTCAGGCGCAATTGTCAAAGACATGAAAACGCTCGCTGACAGTTTCAGGAAACTTCACTTAACCTGGATTTCGATAAATAACAAGAGAGATATTCGGTTGCTGCTCGGACGATAGAAACTTTTAATTTTCACTAAGCAAACAACTGCTCTGTCTAATGTTTTGGATATAATGATAAAAAACAAATGGTGGAATGGTTCCACTTTACATGTCCCTTTACAGAATTTCTTATTTCTAGTTTTCGCTAAAAAAATTCAGGATAACTAGATCAAGTTCGTGGCCACGGCCTTTGTGACTTACCCTTAAAATAATATCGAATTTAATAACAATATGCGGCACAATTTTTTATATTCACTTCCCCTAAAAATAATCATAATGGATCCACTAGATTGGAGACTCTTTTTGTTGATATCTGAACCAACTTTAAATGAAAAGCCCAACTTACTCTATCAGTTCCAATTGTAATGAGTTCATCAGTGAGAAAATACATGCAATACAAAACATCAATGAAGCCACAGATTCTAGCCTTAATAAATTTATTAGAACTTTATTCTCTGTATCTCGTAAACAGAATGTCATTGTAGATAACTCTGCTGGTACAAAAATAAGTTCGGAACGTTCTCCTTATAATGACAATGATGCGGACAATTAACTGGTGGAGTTGTTAATTGGAACTTTCTTGTCGGGAAACGTTTCTCGATGAAATTTCCTGTAAAGCAAATGTTCTTTGGACGCAGTGTATTTAAACGATTAGCTTTTGTGATTATTCACACCGAAGGACTCACTCGGGGCAAATTTTACACACAAAAATTTTACAAAGAAAAAGCGATAAACTTTTTATGGTTATGAATTTCACAAACAAAGTTCAATCTCCTTTTGTTCACTAACGACGTTAAGTAACAATGCGTACCTATTCTTCTTTCTACTAGTTCATTGTAACGGAAAAGAAATACCAAAGCGCGATTAATTATTTTGTCCTTGGTTGTTTTAATTTATGTTACCGAGCTGAGGTTCGGGAGACGTGTTAGGGGTACGCGGTCGCTACGTAGGATGAGCGCGAAAATGTTTGTCAACGGAAACAGGCCTGTTTATCAGAAACAGGTTGGCTGAGCAGAAACGGGTCTGTATCAGAAACAGGTTAAACGAAGCTGGGACCTACTTCTACTGAACAGAGCTGTTTCTATGGAACAGATCAGATTTTAATGAACAGACCTGTTTCTGATACATACGTTTCATGGAAATATCTTGTTTTTAATTTAAAAGCAAAAGTTTAAATCTGAATATGATCGTGCTTTTTTTCTAAGAGACGAAAAATAATTATTTGAGAGCTTTAAATTTAAATAACTAAAAATTAATTATAATTCGTTACATCGTTACATTCAGTGTAAACGAAAAATTACAGTTTATTTCCTGAATAAATAAGAATTTCTCACCAAAATGAAGTTAAAGTTCTATTTACAGATGAGCAGTGAATTTCTTATTAATCTCATGAATATTAAGGTTAAGTTAATTATTATAATTACAGGAAAGTATAATTGATGAAAACCAGTACTTATTTGGAAAAAGGGATTACTACTGAAATATAGGTTTCATGCATTTTTTTACTCTTTTCATCATGATATGCGTTTTCGTATTATTGTCATCCTTTCTCATTCTCTCCATGAGAATCTCCATTTAATATTGCTTTGAGTTACTTTTTATTTAAATTGGTCTCATATTATCCAATAAATATTGATCTTGCATTGTCAGCTAAGACCTTCTTCGAAAATATAAACATGACTTTTGAAAGCAAAATCGATCCCTGGAGCCAGATGTCCCAACGCACAAATTAAGTTAGAGAGAATAAAGCACAATCGTCAATAAGGATATAAATATATCTAGGTGAAACATTTTATGGAATAAAGATGTTTAAATACGATCTCGCTGAGATAGACACCCCCAGTTTCATTAAATATGATCCCCTGCGGTTTCGGTGTTTGTGATTTTCTCTCGCCGCCGCTTCGAGCACTCCCTACGCACAAAACTTTTATACTGTTTTTGTCCCTAGGGTGTCTCTTCAGCCAGCGACTTTGCTTGGAGGAAATCGAATGGTGCTTTGATGGTGAGTAATCTAACAGTTATATTATGTATTAAGTCGACTTGCTCAGATTACGCCTTTGGGCGATGTTTGCCTACAACGGGAAGTGTGGAGGAGGAAGACTTGTATCGGTATGTACTCCATTGCGCATAAGTTTTCTAATTGGAGGTGTTGCAGGTTTGATCTGGAAAGGGAGGTGTTGCACGCTTTAAGTCGTGAACTGAGGAGACTGTTCGCTTTGGGTTACCGTTGGAGTCATGCATATACTCAGTGTACACTGCAAGGCATGCTGTTCGCCGCTAAAAATGAGTAGGTGTCGTCGTTTGTCCCCCCAACCACTAACGTTAAGTTCTAGCATTGCGTTCGACCCGATTACATGTTCACATTTAGTTGATCAAGACTTGGAAGGTGCGCTTAAAGCGTTAGAAGGTGAAGACACTATCGACCCTGATAAAGTTGCAATTGTGAAATTTACACCGAGCGCCGAGAACCCTCACGCCCAATATGCAGATGAAGTCTACTACCCTCCAATTCCCGACGAACGAGCCGCGGCGCGTGACATAATTTTGCCTCCGAATGCAGTCGACGGTAAGTAGGTGAAACAGAGGAAACTCGACCACACGATTAAACATTCCAGTATTTGATATGCCCGATCCTTACGCGGGCTATGAAATAAAGAAGCGCGAATGGATTCCGCAAATGAGGCGCCGTTCCGTATCCCCTACGTACTTTAACGAGTATTATAATAGCCCGCTAGGTTTTAGACTGGGGGAGGAAACGAGAGACTCTCAGGATTACCTATCTGATGGTAACGAGAACGAGTTCCTTACAAACGACATTCCTTACACTTCGACGACGGATTTAAGCGTTGACGATTTCAAAGAATTTTACCCCACTATAAATTTTTTAAGCAAATTTAACCTCAACTCGGATGACGTACGAAAATTGCTGCAACCGGAAAATGTACCGATCTTACAGGCGATTTTGGAAGGGTTCGACAAGGAGGAGAGTAATTACGACACTGACGTCCTCGCACTGCTCAGGCAAAGGATGGAGAATGACGAGCCAGTCGAGCCCGAGAGATTTTCAATGCTCTACAATACTCCGGAAGGTTTCAGATCTGGATGGGAGTCTAGAGATATTCAAGGACTTGGAGATGACTTGCCCGAGTCGAGAGTCTATTATGAGGAGAACGAGGATAACGGCGTGGAAAGGCAAGATGATGGAAGTGGAGAGTCGACGGAACCGGAAATATTTCGCGAGTTGAAACAATTGCACGACAAGTATGGCAATGACGTCGACGTTACCCAATTTACTAACAATCACCAACCGTCCAGCGGTTTGGCTACTAAAACCAGTGATAATAATAACAATAACAATGGACAATCCGGTATCTACACAGAAGGAGGCGTCGTGTACGTCCCTGACTCACAAATTCAGGGTAAGCGGAAGTTTTGCATTGATCGATATTTATATTAATTTCAGGAAACACAAGGGTTGACGAGGAAGAATCCTTCAATAATGACCTAGACGAGTTACTCGAGCGTTACAATAGTGGGTTTAAGAGACCCGAGCGACTCGATGTTAAGAAACCAGGCCCACTCTTCGATTTGCAGCTTAACGATGGAAAGAATCAGTTAGGTAAGCAATTGTGTTCAATATGCAAATATTATTGCGACCTCACCTCTTACTATTTTCAAAATGCAAATGTTTACCCCATTATAAGCTCGTATTCTGACTTGACAAGGGACACCACCTTGTACTGTAATAAATGTATCCAATTCTGTCGTGTCATTTTACCCTAGCTAAATTTATACTCTAAGGGCGAGGGATCATGCGGTGATGTAAGCGTCATTGTGACGAAGCGATATTGGGAGGCTTAGAATAATTTAATTGTGCTCCTGTGATCAAATTAGGTTTTGAGAGTAATCTATTTTCTGATATATTTTTAGAGGAAAATAATCTAATCTTTATAAATTAGTTATTTATTTTGTAGATTTCCTCTTTTAATTACAACCGCGCCTATGATTCGACGCGCCTGCAGAAACAAAAATTTGTTTGTCCTGCATAATAAATAGACCACTACAAAATTATACCTAATTGTTGTATTTGTTTTGTGTATTAAAATGTTTTTAAATAATAGTCTAAGCAGACTTTCATTTCAAAAGGAACTGCCGATTGTAATTTCGATGAAAAATCAAAACTTGCAAAAACACCGTAACGGTAGCTCCAAATTTGCATTTAAATTTTTTTCGAAATTTCGTTGTGAAGTTAGAAATTGTGGAACTTCTAAGAGTAAAGCAGTTTGGCGGGCATTGCATATCATAGAAAGTTTACAGGTTGTCGGGATTTAGAGGGCCGATTTAGTTACAAATGCGCACGCGGCAGCAGAGTGAGATTTGCAAATTAGTATATTTGAAAAGTATGTGGGAATGATTTAATTTACCATTATTTGGTCGGTAGGACGGAATTTTAAGCAACGAATTAACGATTAAGTATGTCCGTTTGCGTGAATAATTCGTCATTTTGTAGGGATTCATTAATGCCAAAGTAATTTCGGGGGGTTCTTTTGGAAGGTTTTTTTATCCGTTCGTTAGCGATCCACGGAAAAAAAGACAGTATCGGTCGCAATTAAGTTTTTTCGGAAAATTCTTGTTTGAGCTGCTCACCTTCTGGGTAGTATATTTTAACGGTAGTCACAATAATTGTAAAAAATAAACTTGTTCGTGGTTTATTATTTCTGGTGAAATTCTTCTCATCATCTTCATCGTCTTCTTATGCTGCAGTATGTTTGCAGACCTACCTGTAAATGTAAAGATTTAAATCGATATTGTGATACCTGGAATTGATTATTTATTGTAATGGAACTCCATGTAGCATACTATTGTATTATATTATATATTAATATATATTATTATATTGTACCTCTAGCTACATGATGTGGAGTCAACGACATCTGAGCGCCATCCCCGAGCGTGTTATGCTAACGTGGTGATTTTTCCTATCTTCTTCTATAGTTTTGGTCCGATTGTTTTCAAAGTCATTCCGTCGTAAAGATCTTGTAAAGGCGCACAACTCCTGCGCGACGGAACTTTATTTGTTCCTAGGGGCGAAATTAACCACCTTTAGCAAGGCGCGCGTCTTCGAGGAGTAGTCGAATTTTGACGCCCAAAAGTTTCTTAAAGGGGTCTCTCTTTCTCGTGTCGCCAATAGCAGCTCGAGCTAAGAGACAAAGGGAATATAGTAGCCCTTGACAAAATGTTACTGATGGTGGAGTCAAAACTGGCTAATAGAATGCTGATCTGCCACACAAAAATGCGCTGTGTTTTCGTTCGCACACGAGGACTTTGATAATTTTTTGTTATTTGGACATTTTGAACTCCCTATATGCGAATTTAGACGACTGACGCGGGGGATACTTTCTGACCCGAAGGTCCAATGGCATACCCCAAAACCTATTCAAAGACGTCTTTGTAACTCTTGCGGTTGCTGAAAAAAAATTTAAGAAGAAACTCAAATTTCACGACTTTTTTGAGGGTGTCTCCCTAACGAAACACGTTGGACGCTCGATTTATTTAGATAAAGTGCTTATTTTGATCGCCTGTGCCACCCATACTTATACGGGGTGTCAATTTTAAAACTTGCAGTCGGCCATACTTTCCAAACTCAAGAAGATATTGAAAATCACGAAAATCCGTTTCGGGAGTATCGAGGAGGAACCAGAATGACGTTATGAGTGACAACCACCCACCCCCTTAACCCCCAGCCCCCCTCTTCAAAAAATTACGCCATGTCTATGTTCAAGATTTGGTCGCTAAATTCGCAGAAACGGGATCTGTTATTTTTCGAGTTTACTTAAAAAACTCATAATTTTGTGTCAATTCACCCCCTACTATTGGAAAATTTTATTGAAACACGTCTATTTAATTAGGTATGGGGAAGTTTAATCGAAGCTATCCCCACTTTAAAATTACAATACGCACTCTTCATCAAAGTGAGACCATTTTAAAGCCGTATGGTGAGCAAATAGAAAAAAAGAATGTCGAATAAGTTTACTACAACAATAAATTAATAGCAGTCTTAAAATGGATTAATTTATAACAGTAATTATTATTTATCCCTTACAATTTATAACATAACAAAAACGCATAGATGATGGAACTGACTGAAATACGCTACAGTTTGCTTTATAGTAAACGACAATTGTTCTAGAATGTTCTTAGAACGCTTCGGAATGTTCTACAATAAACACGCCATTTTTCCCTGAACGATTGCGTCATATCTGCGTTCAGTGTTTATCGCCGATGTCTATCGGGATTTCTGGAATATTCATTACAATATCATTTCCTGCTAATAATAGCAGTTACAACACTTCTCCGAAAGTTAAATAGAAATTATGGAGCATGCGCACTTGTCAATTGGGTTCAAATGCGATTATCACGACAACGGAATGCTGGAAGTGGATACTACCAAAGGAAAAGTGAGGATCATGACAAAACGCATCTGTTGGTTCAAGATTCAAATGCGGATATGTTCAGAACGGAGTGTTGGAACAGGGCACTCACAAAGTGAAGATTAAAGTTATTGCACAGACACATCTGTCGCACTAGGGAAACATAATATGAAACTGCCTCAAATTTTCAATCTAGAGCTTTCCCCCTCAGTTAATATTTGAGTTTCTCGTCATCAATATATTCAATACCTCGTATTTCGTCCAATTGCCATGTTACTTAACAAAAATATGAGCAAAAAACCAAATAAAATAGTTTTTTATTATACCTAAATCACAATCTCTGTTTTCAACACTCAAATGCGTGCGAAAAAAGGCGTTTAAAACACACGTGCTTTAAAGTTACTAAGTAAAGATACTTCAAGTATGACTTTTGAAACTGTCATCTGGGTGAAATAAAAAATCCTCTTAGGTCGCTTTCTGTAAATACAGAACATTTCTTTGGCTTGTACCTATCCTTTGGTTGAAGCTTTCACAAGCGCGCGTTATTTAGGGTATGCTTCCAAATCTGTTCCACTGTTTAATCGCAGCATTGTTTGAAGTTTTGAATGAATGCACCAAAAGATTGAAGATTTAAATACTGTAACGTTATTTATAAATTCGGGTTCGATTTATGTCAATATTTATTAAACAGAACTAAAACACTATAAAATCCGTACAATTTATATCGATTATTTATATCACTCACAAATTTATATCGATTATTTATATCACTCACAGTTCGCAATTTATCTTTCCGTGCTCGATGTTTACATACTCGTTCGGTAGTAGACTGCCGCGATGTTCGGTCCGCAACCATTTATACACGCAAGCAATGTAAGTCCCGAACATTCTCGAATACGCGTAGAAAATTCCAGAGCGCCAAAGGCGACGTCATGTCTGGAGCATTTTCGTTACACTGCCCCCTTCTTAATTCTGGACGTCTCGTTCAGAAACTGCGTTAGTATTACTTTTTAATGCCTCGTGTCGGAATCTGCAGTCAGAGCCTGCTCGACAAACACCCTTCTTGAAAAAGTAACAGTCCACAGTTTTGCGGAGGGTCGTCCCCTGTGGGTTGAAGCAGCATACTGTAATTCGAACGCTAGTGTTTCTAAAAATCAGTTCGATCATGGTTCGCACTATCTTCCAGTCCAACCCATCTAAACCACATCCAATCTTCGGGATCGCCAAGCTATTTATGTCATAGTATGAGGATGAGTTTCTTTAAGTTTTTTAAAGCAGACCAGAGGTTTTCATAGGTGGGTTTGCCTTCTGACATTTTCTTTGAAACCAAGTAGAACAAAGAGCGTTGACTATCTTCCAAGCGCAGTACTTTACCCACTCGTGGTCTTTGCTTTAACAACTCGTCCATTCTTCCAAATCTTTTCCGGAATACGAAAGCTATACCTCTACCCATGCGAAGGTCTTCAGCGACACAATGGGCGATGGAAACGTTAACCGGAAGCTCAAAAATATTTTGACAAATTTCCTGAGTAACGCCAAATCGAGCTTTCTTCCGCTGGGCGTAATTTGACATAAAATCGTTAAAGTTTGGCTCGATCCCAAAGCTGCGTTCTTCTTCTCGAATACCTCTAACTTCTTCGTTGTTGTTGGATCCGGCATATCGTGCGAGTCGATTAATGTGGACAACTTTCGGTTTCCGGTGGTTCATTCTGATACGATATATCACGTCATTTATTTTCTTGATCACCTCATATGGACCTTCCCATTGTCTTTGTAGCTTGGGAGAAAGACCTCTTCGCCTCTGTGGATTGTGCAGCCATACCAGATCTCCAGCTTCAAAAGTTTCATTGGCCGAGCGGAGGTTGTATTGATTTTTCATACGATCGCTGGCAATCTGAATATGTCTTCTAGCCAAG